ATTCTAAAATTTATACAATGATTTTTTCCTCATCAATCTACACACAATACCCCATAATGACAAAGTGAAAACAGGTCTTTAGAAATGTTTGCTAATGTATTAAATATAAAAACATAAATAACTTATTTACATAAATATTCAGACCCTTTGCTATGAGACTCGAAATTGAGCTCAGGCGCATCCTGTTTCCATTAATCATCCTTGAGATGTTTCTACAACTTGATTGGAGTCCACCTGTGGTAAATTCTATTGACTGGACATGATTTGGAAAGGCACACACCTGTCTATATAAGGTCCCACGGTTGACAGTGCATGTCAGAGCAAAAACCAAGCCATGAGGTCAAAGGAATTTTCTGTAGAGCTCTGAGACAGGATTGTGTCGAGGCACAGATCTGGGGAAGGGTACCAACAAATTTCAGCAACATTGAAGGTCCCCAAGAACACAGTGACCTCCATCATTCTTAAATGGAAGAAGTTTGGAACCACAAAGACTCTTCCTATATCTGGATGCCCGGACAAACTGAGCAATCGGGGGAGAAGGGCCTTGGTCAGGGAGGTGACCAAGAACCCGATGGTCACTTTGACAGAGCTCCAGAGTTCCTCTGTGGAGATAGGAGAACCTTCCAGAAGGACAACCATCTCTGCAGCACTCCACCAATCAGGCCTTTATGGTAGAGTGGGGTGAAGGTTTTTTTATTTATTTTATTTAACCTTTATTTAACCAGGTAAGCCAGTTGAGAACAAGTTCTCATTTACAACTGTGACCTGGCCAAGATAAAGCAAAGCAGTGCGATAAAAACAACAACAACACAGAGTTACATATGGAATAAACAAAAGGTTCACCTTCCAACAGGACAACGACCCTAAGCACACAGCCAAGACAATGCAGGAGTGGCTTCAGGGCAAGTCTCTGAATGTCTTTGAGAGTCCCAGCCAGAGCCCGGACTTGAACCCGATCGAACATCTCTGGAGAGACCTGAAAATAGCTGTGCAGTAACGCTCCCCATCCAACCTGACAGAGCTTGAGAGGATCTGCAGAGAAGAATGCGGAAAAACTCCCCAAATACAGGTGTGCCAAGCTTGTAGCGTCATACCTAAGAAGACTCAAGGCTGTAATTGCTGCCAAAGGTGCTACAACAAAGTACTGAGTAAAGGATCTGAATACTAATGTAAATGTCATATTTCAGTTATACATTTTTATTGCATTTGAAAATGTTCTAAAAACCTGTTTTTGCTTTGTCATTATGGGGTATTGTGTGTAGATTGATGAGGGAAAAAAACAATTTAATCCATTTTTGAATAAGGCTGTAATTTGGAAAAAGTCAAGGGGTCTGAATACTTTCCAAATGCAATGTATTTGATACCATTCCACCAATTCCGTTCCAGCCATTACCCCAAGCCCGTTCTCCCCAATTAAGTTGGAGTGCCCTGAAGCCACTCCACCCCAAGCCCGTTCTCCCCTAAAAGATGTTTGGTACTATATTTATTCAATATTATATGAATCCTCTAAATTAAAATGGCCAATTTTGTCTTATCTTAATTTCTCAGAGATCAAATTATATTTCAACAAAATAATGTTGCAGGAATGCTAAAGTTAGCTGTTTCTAACAACATAAATGTCATAACAATTATCTGAAATGGTGGGTGTCGAAATCCTCTTTCTTGTGCTTACCTCCATGAAAATATTGTCCCCTGTTATTTTGGGCAACCTTGTCACAAGTTTGCCCACTAGTTTCAGCTTGTGATGTGCTTGCCTTTATGAAACAGTCAGGTAAACATTTCAGAGAAATAACATTAACAATTCTACATGAGACAGTGCTTCCAGATATTGCAATCTCAGTGGTCCTTCTGAGGTAATTAAATAATCTGGTGTCTGACTAAATACTGGAAAGGTATCCATGACTCTAGATTAAGCTAATCCTTTATGTGATGAGCATCCTATCTGGGTCAGCAATGGAATGACTGATACACCAGAAAAGACAAGCCTCTAGGCTACAATATGTTTTGGGCCTGGAAAACAATGTACAATTGCCATGGTAATTTGGAATGTTCAGTCAATGAGCATTCCAATGGCCAAAGCTGATTTTGGACTATGAGACCCTGGGCTATATTAGGATGAGCCAGTAATATGCATCGATATCAGTAGGCTATGCATAATGCATTGCATGAGTCAGTGTCTGGGTAAATGTACATTCCCGTGGTGCGAGGCCACCTGTCCAAGTCGGAATATAAAAATGCAATTTTGATTAACTGAAGTCAAGTGATTGCAAAAGTTATTTGTTTTGACTAAGCTTTCTGAACTAAAACATTAAAAGTAAAAGTAGTAATTATAGCTTGACACATACAGTTGAAGACGGAAGTTTACATACACTTAGGTTGGAGTCATTAAAACTCGTTTTTCAACCACTCCACAAATGTATTGTTAACAAACTATATTTTTAGCAAGTCGGTTAGGACACCTACTTTGTGCATGATACAAGTAGTTTTTCCAACAATTGTTTACTGACAGATTATTTTACTTATAATTCACTCTATCACAATTCCAGTGGGTCAGAAGTTTACATACATTAAGTTGACTGTGCCTTTAAACAGCTTGGAAAATTCCAGAAAATGATGTCATGGCTTTAGAAGCTTCTGATAGGCTAATTGACATAATTTGAGTCAATTGGAGGTATACCTGTGGATGTATTTAAAGGCCTACCTTCAAACTCAATGCCTCTTTGCTTGACATCATGGGAAATTCAAAAGAAATCAGCCAAGACCTCAGAAAAAACATTGTAGACCTCCACAAGTTTGGTTCATTCTTGGGAGCAATTTCCAAACGCCTGAAGCTACCACATTCATCTGTACAAACAATAGTACGCAAGTATAAACACCATGGGACCACACAGCCGTCATACCGCTCAGGAAGGAGACGCGTTCTGTCTCCTAGAGATGAACGTACTTTGGTGCGAAAAGTGCAAATCAATCCCAGAACAACAGCAAAAGACCTTGTGAAGATGCTGGAGGAAACAGGTACAAAAGGACTATATCCACAGTAAAACGAGTCCTATATCGACATAACCTGAAAGGCCGCTCAGCATGGAAGAAGTCACTGCTCCAAAACCGCCATAAAAAAGCCAGACTACAGTTTGCAACTGCACATGGGGACAAAGATCGTACTTTTTGGAGAAATGTCCTCTGGTCTAATGAAACAACAATAGAACTGTTTGGCCATAATGACCAACGTTATGTTTGGAGGAAAAAGGGGGATGCTTGCAAGCCAAAGAACACCATCCCAACCGTGAAGCACGGGGGTGGCAGCATCATGCTGTGGGGGTGCTTTGCTGCAGGAGGGAATGGTGCACTTCACAAAATAGATGGCATCATGAGGAAGGAAATGTATGTGGATATATTGAAGCAACATCTCAAGACATCAGTCAGGAAGTTAAAGCTTGGTCGCAAATGGGTCTTCCAAATGGACAATGACCCCAAGCATACTTCCAAATTTAAGCAAAATGGCTTAAGGACAACAAAGTCAAGGTATTGGAGTGGCCATCACAAAGCCCTGACCTCAATCGTATAGAAAATATGTGGGCAGAACTGAAAAAGCGTGTGCGAGCAAGGAGGCCTACAAACCTGACTCAGTTATTCCAGCTCTGTCAGGAGGAATGGGCCAAAATTCACCGAACTTATTGTGGGAAGCTTGTGGAAGGCTACCCGAAACGTTTGACCCAAGTTAAACAATTTAAAGGCAATGCTACCAAATAGTAATTGTGTGTATGTAAACTTCTGACCCACTGGGAGTGTGATGAAATAAATAAAAGCTGAAATAAATCATTCTCTCTACTATTATTCTGATTTCACATTCTTAAAATAAAGTGGTGATCCTTTATACAAATGCACGTTTATACAAAAGGCCTATACAATCCTGAGTGAAGATACCATTGGGCAGATAAAAGCACAGGGCCATTTACCTCAGACACACACTCTGTAAAGTGAATCCCACTGATGATATCAAAGCAAACCCGTATTTATAACTCAAACTCTAGAATGCATTTGAAGCCAATCAGAATTGAGTATTTAACAATACCGTGGGTTCCATTTAACGCCACAATCATATTAGGCCACAAATTACAGTCAGTGAACATGGGTAAATAGAATGTAATAAAATAGAATAGAATAACTACATTTTTCACAGATGGACTTCAGGGAAGTCTTATTAGGCTACATGTATATGCACATCACATACATTGAATTGAGATTACATGTATTCAGGGGCAGACTAGCCATCTTGGCATTTTGGGCAAATGCCAGATGGGCTGGTCCATTTTTAGCCAGTGGGCCTGTCTAATTTGTTAGTTTTTTGCTAAATGATCATTATCTGGTTAATAATGGGGGCTTCAAGAAATAAAATGGGCTGATGTGGGAGCCTCAAGGAAAAAAATGGGCCAGTGTGTTAGAAATGCCAGAGCAGATTTCTGGTCCCAGTCAGCCCCTGCATGTACCACTGAAATCCTATGAGGATAATCATAATATTAATAATCATAATAATAATGTATTTCATTTCTATAGCGCTTTTCATAACAATCTCAAAGCACTTCAAAAACAAAAAGCAAATAAGCAATAAATCATGAGTAGCCTAGCTATAATTAGGTCAACCAATAGAGGCCAAGTCTTTGAGTGCATGCTTCCTCCAAAGATGGAGAAGGACAGTTCATATGTGATGGAATGTCCTGTCACATGAAAACATAATGAAACACTGAGTGACTCAATAAAGTGATCAATTCAAAATGATTGTATGAATCCTATACAACAATACAAAGAAATACATTTTTTATAAATATTCGAAGGAGTGTAATCAATCATTGAACATTTTATTTTCGAATGACTTCAGAGTTTCGAAAAATATATTCTGATTCATTTCTATGGCTTCATGGATTGGTGAGTGTCTTTTTTTAGAACGTGAAAGGGGAGTGCTCCTCACCTGATCACGTGCAACACCATTGGCTTAGGAGTTTCCTGATTCCATCTCATTCTTAGCTGCTTACTTTCGAAGTAGCTCGAAATCCTCTCCAAAGCATATCCAAAATGTGTGTATTTTTTTAAATGATTACATTTAACGCTACGTAACATTATCGAGAAGATAACTTTCGTTTCTAAGGGAATCAATCAATCCGCTTTCTCGCGACATAGCCAGCTGTCACTATTGTTGACAGTGTGGATTATTTTACTCGACGAGATAACTGCAGCCATGATGGCGTCCAACTACAACGCTAGTAAGGAAGAGGACGGGCACCAGCCTGGTGCTATGGGCCATGGAGGAGCAGGAACTGTGAAAAATAAAAAACCGGACAACACTGCGTTCAAACAGCAACGACTGCCTGCTTGGCAACCTATTTTGACAGCGGGCACTGTTCTTCCAGCTTTCTTTGTCATTGGTCTCATCTTCATCCCAATCGGCATTGGACTCTTCGTGACATCAAACAACATAAAAGAGTTAGAGGTAACGTTAACTAACTAGCAAGCCAACACAACAGAGTAGCCAATTGATTGTGTATGTATGTGTTAGCTCTGTTTGGCAAGCTATCTTTAAGTTCTTATCTTGTATTCAGTGTATAACACTTATTTATATACACCTATTAAGTGTCATTGATCATCTCCTTACTTTACAGATCGATTACACTGGTGTTGACATGTCAAGTCCGTGCTATAACTGCTCACAAAGCTACAGCTGGAACAGCACAAAGCCATGTACCTGCTCTGTCCCCTTCTCTCTGGATCAACCATTTGAGGTAAGCTGAACAGAACCTGCAACCTTTAGGATCCCCAAACTACTGTATAATCACAATTAAAAGTTTAGGCTAATCATTCAATAATTTATGTTAGTGTTTGTAGATCAAATGTCCAGTCATTGTTGTTCCAGACACCCACTACCTAGTGGGCATACGACATGATAAAGTTGTCTTTTACTGGTTGAAATCTGGTCTGGATGTCTTATATCCAAATCACATTATTGCAGATTTCAAAGTGCTATGTTATTTTTCTGCAAAATCCTCTAGAGGGCAGAATTGGAAAAAAATATACTGATACCACAGGGAAAAAAAGATAGCGGGAAGAAGAGCAGTGATTTTCCCCAGTCCACAACAATGCTTAAACCACATCAGGGATCCATTTTTGAGAAAATCTGAGAAATAGTTTTTTTTTGTGTAGTTACCCTTTAATTCAGGTGAGTACCAGCCACACAGTGCACTTGTGATTAACTTCTCAAAACAAATGGCTACTGGATTGATGCAAATAATCATATGATTCTGCCAGGTAGGCATAGGCTACCTTTAATTGCCTACTCGAAAACGGTAAGGCCATCATTAGCATTGCTAACGGCTACACAAAGTGGTAGACATATAGGCCTTACGCACACCTCACACAGCAGTGCTCGACATTCAGGTATATTTTCCACTACCAACTGAAAGCTACTGGCCCGAAGAAAGAAAAAAAAAAGTATATATACACTGCTCAAAAAAATAAAGGGAACACTTAAACAACACAATGTAACTCCAAGTCAATCACACTTCTGTGAAATAAAACTGTCCACTTAGGAAGCAACACTGATTGACAATACATTTCACATGCTGTTGTGCAAATGGAATAGACAACAGGTGGAAATTATAGGCAATTAGCAAGACACCCCCAATAAAGGACTGGTTTTGCAGGTGGTGACCACAGACCACTTCTCAGTTCCTATGCTTCCTGGCTGATGTTTTGGTCACTTTTGAATGCTGGCGGTGCTTTCACTCTAGTGGTAGCATGAGACAGAGTCTACAACCCACACAAGTGGCTCAGGTAGTGCAGCTCATCCAGGATGGCACATCAATGCAAGCTGTGGCAAGAAGGTTTGCTGTGTCTGTCAGCGTAGTGTCCAGAGCATGGAGGCGCTACCAGGAGACAGTCCAGTACATCAGGAGAAGTGGAGGAGGCCGTAGGAGGGCAACAACCCAGCAGCAGGACTGCTACCTCCGCCTTTGTGCAAGGAGGAGCAGGAAGAGCACTGCCAGAGCCCTGCAAAATGACCTCCAGCAGGCCACAAATGTGCATGTGTCTGCTCAAACGGTCAGAAACAGACTCCATGAGGGTGGTATGAGGGCCCGACGTCCACAGGTGGGGGTTGTGCTTACAGCCCAACACCGTGCAGGACGTTTGGCATTTGCCAGAGAACACCAAGATTGGCAAATTCGCCACTGGCGCCCTGTGCTCTTCACAGATGAAAGCAGGTTCACACTGAGCACATGTGACAGAGTCTGGAGACGCCGTGGAGAACGTTCTGCTGCCTGCAACATCCTCCAGCATGACCGGTTTGGCGGTGGGTCAGTCGTGGGGTGGCATTTCTTTGGGGGGCCGCACAGCCCTCCATGTGCTCGCCAGAGGTAGCCTGACTGCCATTAGGTACCGAGATGAGATCCTCAGACTCCTTGTGAGACCATATGCTGGTGCGGTTGGCCCTGGGTTCCTCCTAATGCAAGACAATGCTAGACCTCATGTGGCTGGAGCGTGTCAGCAGTTCCTGCAAGAGGAAGGCATTGATGCTATGGACTGGCCCGCCCGTTCCCCAGACCTGAATCCAATTGAGCACATCTGGGACATCATGTCTCGCTCCATCCACCAACGCCACGTTGCACCACAGACTGTCCAGGAGTTGGCGGATGCTTTAGTCCAGGTCTGGGAGGAGATCCCTCAGGAGACCATCCTCCACCTCATCAGGAGCATGCCCAGGCGTTGTAGGGAGGTCATACAGGCACGTGGAGGCCACACACTACTGAGCCTCATTTTGACTTGTTTTTTACATCAAAGTTGGATCAGCCTGTAGTGTGGTTTTCCACTTTAATTTTGAGGGTAACTCCAAATCCAGACCTCCATGGGTTGATACATTTGATTTCCATTGATAATTTTTGTGTGATTTTGTTGTCAGCACATTCAACTATGTAAAGAAAAAAGTATTTAATAAGATTATTTCATTCATTCAGATCTAGGATGTGTTATTTTTGTGTTCCCTTTATTTTTTTGAGCAGTGTACTTAGACAATTATGTGGAAAGTTAATACAAATGTTTAATAGTCGGTACCGGGTTTGTTCTAACAAAAGGCACGTGCTTCGCCTCTAGCTATTCCGAACTAACTAGACAAAGAAAACCTCTCAGTTTATATACCCTCTGTTACACGTTTCTTCAACTACATCTGGTAACCATCAGTGGGCACTCCCTTCTCTGATGTTATTTCCTTGTACCCCAAGTCAGTATATCATATCCATCAATCATTCTAAGATAAACATCAGTAATCTCCCTTGACATAATGGAATCCTTGGCCTCCAGACTGTGCGGCGCCAAGTCACTTTCTACTAAATTTAACCTGGTTCCCACCACACTATGAAAACATCATAACAGTCCTTTTTTTCTCTCTCTCTTGTGGTAAGTAACATTACTTAACCCCAACAATTCACATAAAACTTAATATAAAATACAATGTTCTCCAATCAGTAGTGTATATATATGACTAGAGTCTAAACTATGCTAGATAACTGAGAATTCACCCCTCTCTACCTTCTATACCTGAATCCAACCAGATTCTCAATATATTTAATCAACAAAGGTATACATTCTCAGTCATCTATCTCATGCACTATCAAACCTCTCAAACCTGCTATGGACTCAGTCTGAGTAAAATATAGACACATGATTAACTACTATATATTCATGCTAAAAATCTATGTTGTCAAAACCTTACTTGTATAAGACCGTCCCCATTTTCTTAAGTGACCCCTTTTATATACATACTTATCAAACATACCAATCATCTTAGACATGCTACCAAGAAAAACATGCATATAAATAAATTGTGAACATCATGACATCATCCACTCAAATACCAAGATACATGACCCTTTCTAAGTTACATGGATATTATAATATAGTCAAATGAATATATCTAAATAAAAATTACGTCAGTCTTCTTCATACATGTTCATTCAGAGGAACCCCAAGCTTTTCTCTGGTCATTTGGGGCGCTATCTGATCGACCTAGGTAGTCTTGTTTCCACATCTCCATTCCTGTAAACCTTAAATTCCACGTTATACAGTTCCAACTTAACCTTCCCCATTCCTCAATCCACATTATCAATGTACTCTAAACTGGAATAAGATGATATAGAATAAGAATTAGTACTCTAACTGTCGACCAGTTGCGTTCACGTTGTCATTATGCGTCACATGGTTGCTAAGATAATCATCACGCAATCCTCACAAAAGTCAGTGTATATGTCGAGAAACGTGCCTATTTTCCTTGAAGGTATGTAATGTCACGATTCCAAAGCTCTACAATACTACAGATAGCAAGTTAATTATCTCATATCTTGGGAAAATATTTGTAATGTTTACTTCTTGTTGACAATTTGTGCTGATGTTGAGTTTCTGAGCTAGCGCCCAATAGACAATATACTCCTTGAAGGAGAGAGCACTCCTTGTCCCAGAATTTCCCAGAATGCACCGCGCGGCCCATTGACGTAGCATGGGCAACGTTTCCCATCTCCTCAAAAGTATATCTGCCGTTGCGAATGTTAGACTCCACTCTGTGAGGCACATCGATCTGCAGGTTGAACATGGTGAGATAGCTGTAAAATCGCCTAAACAAACTGCACTAACTAGCTACGTTACATGCTGATATTGTCTTTGGTAATATTGTGTGTAGCTATGTTTGCTAGCTTGCCAGCCAGCCCATACATATTGCATTGTGGATTTTGTAGTCGACTTGAGCTGCAACAGATTTCCACAACGATTTTCCATGTTGCTACCAACCTTTATTATAACGCCAAAATGAAACATTTGTTCACAAAAATATAGTTCTCACATATTTGTGTTATTTAACACTGTAAATGAAAGGAATGAGTGGTTTTGGGTGGATTTTTTCTTTAATGGTCAAGCTCTGTCCTCAGAATCAATCATTACTATTTTAAAAAATTGCCCTGAATGTTATTTATTATTCACACAAATAGCTTTTATAGGAGGATGTTATTGATTGCAGGAATTCCTTATTTAGACTCACTCAACCCCCTGCTCTTTCATTTTAGGGTTGTGACATTGTTGCATTGTCTTTTGAAGGCCTATGCTCTCATCCGATGAATAACTAAACTAATTCATTGCCTTAATCTGCAATTATTCCCCTCTAGAGCAATGTCTTCATGTACTACGGATTGTCAAACTTCTATCAGAATCACAGACGCTATGTGAAGTCTAGAGATGACAGCCAGTTGAACGGAGACAAAACTTCTCTAAAGGTATGTTACAGGTGCACTTAGTAGAGAGAACATAGACATTATACATTGAATCGATGAAGACCTAATTGTTTGATTTCAACATGTCATGATTTTTAACTTGCACTGAAACATCTTGGCACTCTTTACAGAGCCCCAGCAAGGAATGTGAGCCATACCGCACCAGTGACAACAAGCCTATTGCTCCATGTGGTGCTATCGCCAACAGCCTCTTCAATGGTAAGACTAGAGGGATACATTTTCCCTTAGCAAATAATTGTCCCATTTTCAGTACAGGAGTCAAGTAACAATACCCACACACTAATGCTTAACCACAATCTTATCATATTGTCCTGTACTTACTTACACAATGTTATTTAGATACGGGTCTGCAAATTTGGGCCAACCCTTGTACAGTGCCTTGCAAAAGTATTCATCCCCCTTGGCGTTTTTCCTATTTTGTTGCATTACAACCTGTAATTTAAATTGCTTTTTATTTGGATTTCATGTAATGGACATACACAAAATAGTGAAATGAAAAAAATAATTTGTTCCAAAAAATAAAAATAACGGATAAGTGGTGGTTAAGCATTAGTGTGTGGGTATTGTTACTTCGGAGAGTACGACCCTGCCTTACACAGGAAGCGGCACAGGTCCTAATCCAGGCACTTGTCATCTCCCGTCTGGATTACTGCAACTCGCTGTTGGCTGGCCTCCCTGCCTGTGCCATTAAACCCCTACAACTCATCCAGAACGCCGCAGCCCGTCTGGTGTTCAACCTTCCCAAGTTCTCTCACGTCACCCCCCTCCTCCGCACACTCCACTGGCTTCCAGTTGAAGCTCGCATCCGTTACAAGACCATGGTGCTTGCCTATGGAGCAGTGAGGGGAACGGCACCTCTGTATCTTCGGGCTCTGATCAGTCCCTACACCCAAACGAGGGCATTGCGTTCATCCACCTCTGGCCTGCTGGCTCCCCTTCCTCTGCGGAAGCATAGTTCCCGCTCAGCCCAGTCAAAACTGTTCGCTGCTCTGGCACCCCAATGGTGGAACAAGCTCCCTCACGACGCCAGGACAGCGGAGTCACTCACCACCTTCCGGAGACATTTGAAACCCCACCTCTTTAAGGAATACCTGGGATAGGATAAAGTAATCCTTCTACCCCCCCCCCCCCCCCCCCCAAATTGTAAAGTGGTTATCCCACTGGCTATAGGGTGAATGCACCAATTTGTGAGTCGCTCTGGATAAGAGCGTCTGCTAAATGACGTAAATGTGCCCTTGAGCAAGGCACTTAACCCTAATTGCTCCTGTAAGTCGCTCTGGATAAGAGCGTCTGCTAAATGACTAAAATGTAAATGTAAATGTAAATGGTGCGTGCATATGTATTCACCCCCTTTGCTATGCAGCCCCTAAATAAGATCTGGTGCAACCAATTACCTTCAGAAGTCACATAATTAGTTAAATAAAGTCCACCTGTGTGCAATCTAAATGTCACATGATCTCAGTATATATACACCTGTTCTGAAAGGCCCCAGAGTCTGCAACACCACTAAGCAAGGGGCACCACCAAGCAAGTGGTACTATGAAGACCAAGGAGCTCTCCAAACAGGTCAGGGACAAAGTTGTGGAGAATTGCAGATCAGGGTTGGGTTATAAAAAAATATCTGAAACTTTGAACATCCCACGGAGCACCATTTTTTAAATCCATTATAAAAAAATTGAAAGAATATGGCACCATAACAAACCTGCCAAGAGAGTGCCGCCCACCAAAACTCACGGACCAGGCAAGGAGGGCATTAATCAGAGAGGCAACAAAGAGACCAAAGATAATCCTGAAGGAGCTGCAAAGCTCCACAGCGGAGATTGGAGTATCTGTCCATAAGACCACTTTAAGCCGTACACTCCACAGAGCTGGCCTTTACGGAAGAGTGGCCAGAAAAAAGCCATTGCTTATAGAAAAAAATAAGCAAACGTTTGGTGTTTGCCAAAAGGCATGTGGGAGACTCCCCAAACGTATGAAAGAAGGTACTCTGGTCAGATGAGACTAAAATTGAGCTTTTTGGCCATCAAGGAAAACGCAATGTCTGGCGCAAACCCAACACCTCTCATCACCCCGAGAACACCATCCAGTGAAGCATGGTGGTGGCAGCATCATGCTGTTGGGATGTTTTTCCTCGGCGGGGACTGGGAAACTGGTCAGAATTGAAGGAATGATGGATGGCGCTAAATACAGGGAAATTCTTGAGGGAAACCTGTTTCTCTTCCAGAGTTTTGAGACTGGGATAGAGGTTCACCTTCCAGCAGGATAATGACCCTAGGCGTACTGCTAAAGCAATACTCGAGTGGTTTAAGGGGAACATTTAAATGTCTTTGAATGGCCTAGTCAAAGCCCAGACCTCAATCCAATTGAGAATCTGTGGTAGGACTTAAAGATTGCTGTACACCAGCAGAACCCATCCAACTTGAAGGAGCTGGAGCAGTTTTGCCTTGAAGAATGGGCAAAAATCCCAGTGGCAAGATGTGCCAAGCTTATAGAGACATACCCCAAGAGACTTGCAGCTGACATTGCTGCAAAATGTGGCTCTACAAAGTATTGACTTTGGGTGGGTGAATAGTTATGCACGCTAAAGTTTTCAGTTTTTTTGTCTTATTTCTTGTTTGTTTCACAATAAAAAATATTTTGCATCTTAAAAAAGTGGTAGGCATTTTGTGTAAATCAAATGATACAAACCCCCCCAAAAATCCATTTTAATTCCAGGTTGTAAGGCAACAAAATAGGAAAAATGCCAAGTGGGGTGAATACTTTCGCAAGCCACTGTATATAGTCTTTCCCGTTTCAGGTTGAAGTGGTTTTACTTTAGTTTGCCATGTTGTACTGTGTTTCTCATCAGACACTCTGGAGCTGTATTACATTGACCCCAATGGCTCCAGAACGGCGATTCCTCTGGTGAAGAAGGGTATTGCATGGTGGACAGACAAGCATGTGAAGTTTAGGAACCCCGGTGGAAACAACGACAACCTCACTGTAGTTTTCCAAGGTGATTTGCATACCATGCAAAATGACACAACTGCCTTGTAATAATTAAATTATCATGACTGACTAGGCCTTTTTCCTCCTTCAGGCACAAGCAAACCTGTCAACTGGAGGAAGCCTGTCTATGAGCTGGACCCTTTGGACCCTGACAACAACGGCTTCATCAATGAGGATTTCATTGTGTGGATGAGGACCGCTGCCCTGCCCACCTTCCGCAAGCTGTACCGCATCATCCATAAGAAGCCCAACAACATGACCCCGACTCTGCCCCGAGGAGAATACATCCTTGAGGTCACCTACAGTATCCTTATGAGAAAGATCGCAATAAATCACAACATAGAGATTCATGGCAGGCATATACGTTTGTTTTGAGAGAACATTGCACATAGAAGGCATAGAGGCATATCAGTTTGTTCAGTTATACACTCATTCCATTTGGGTCAACCTATGTCCAACTCCATCTTTGACAATGTTTGCTGTAGTTTATCTGTATTCTGTATTTTTTTACCATTCACAAGTTGTACACATGATACAATACATTCACTGACCCATCTGTAACTTTCCAGATGCTGCTTCTGTCTTTTCCTTTAACCATGTGAACTCAGATTATCCCGTGCGGAGCTTTGAGGGCAGGAAGCGTATTATCCTGAGCACCATCTCCTGGATGGGCGGCAAGAATCCCTTCCTGGGCATCGCTTATATCACCGTGGGCTCAGTCTGCTTCTTCTTGGGCATCATCCTCCTCATCATCCACCATAAATATGGCAACCGTAACAACAGTGCAGAAATTCACAGCTGAAGGGCTTCCTAATATGGTGACTGTACTTCCTCCTCCATTCTGCATTCCTGGGTCTAGGCATCACTGGTCTGGCCCTGCTCTGCTCTGGACTGCTTGCTGATTTAGCCTGGATGCACTGGTCTTTGCTCAAATGTTTGTTTTGTGTTGTAATGTTAGCTCACTCATCCCCACATCCAGTGGAAGGCTGCAGTCAGGTGTTTGTTCAGAAGGGTGATACAAAATATATCTATCTGGAATGTATAGAACTGACATAGTTGCTGATTCGCAGTGACAAGAAAGTCTGTTCTACACAATATATTTATATCTGAAATGTCTGTAACATTGTGCCCTCCTGTATAAGCCCCAGGTGTGTGTTGCAGAGTGAGTTACACCCTGTAAACTAATGGGACGAGACACAAGAAGGCTCTGGAAGCTTAGGATACTCTGTCTTTGTACAACATGACTGCTGAAAATGTTGTTTGTGGTCCTTAAGTACATTGTTTCTATTTATCCAGATGTTATCTTAATGGAGAACATGTATATTATTTGAGCAATGCGTGTCATTAATGGCTCGATACTGAACGATGTCTATTTTAAAGTAAGTTCTACACTCTTATTATGTAATATGTCCTGCTGGTGAATGTACTAATGTATTTAATTTACATAACTTTGAAGCTATTTCAAACTTGCGTAAATATGGAATGGGGAACAAAAGCTCATAGCCATGTTGCTTCTGCTTTGTTTAAGCGACAAAAGCAGTCATAGGTTTGACCAGTTCACATACTGATTTTATTGCCTCCAATTTGTTTGTCAATGTCTAATAGTTCAATGTATAATCAATTTTTTTACTTTTTTTAAATTAATTACTGTATTTATTTATTGGTCAAACTAGTGCTTTAATCCACTATGGTATGTGTGCAATCCTATTTTATAATCTGAGGATACATCCACAGCCAACTTGATTTGAAGTTATGGACCACTGCTACTGACGTTGTCTCTACGATGACACTTGACAATGAAAATCAATTTTAAAACAAATTTACGAATGTATCATTTCAATGTTGACCAAATGCTATGCATTTCACAAGTGTCACATTTGTTATGCAGTTCTTCTTACATTTTCATTTGGTCATTATCTTTTTTTCAAAGCTAATTCCGCCCTTTATTCTTTAATATTGTGTTGGATAATTTACTGATATTTCAGAAGTTAATAAAATTCTAAAAATTGTATTTGCAAGTTATTGATTTGTTTCCCTCATCAATGGTGTTAAAGGCAATTAAATGTAAGGTCCTTGGTCTTGCCACATAACAAAGTGTAATTTCCCACACACAGGTCTTCTATCACAATTTACACATTTTATATGTTCCTGCCAGTCAGCAGCCTACTGAATGTCAGGCCAAGCTTCTCTACATCTGCACAGAGAACACACAAACGCACACAGACACATGATGGACCCAAATATTGATCTCTGATAGATCAGTATTCCAGGTGGTGTCAATAAGTGAATTATTTTGCATGTCCTGGTGCCCTGGATGGGTGGAGATTTCACTTAAGGACCAACGGATGGTTTAAAATGTACAAACTCGGCCACCCGGGGCACCGGACCATGCAAACACGCCCATTGTCACTCATATAATGTAAAATGTTTGATATGTATTCGATAGCACCAGGCTAGCAGAGTACAGCCTTCACAAAAATCAACCAATGAGCAGCCAGTCAACATGACCGGAAATGTAGCAATTTTCCTGCCGCAAAGAATCTTGGGATATCACCGGAAGCAGTAGCTAGGTTTTCAAAGTGTCCTTGTGCACTCACCTCGAAATAAAAAAAATTGCCCAAATGTACAAGCAACTTATGGTAAGTGTTCAATAATATTTGTTTGAACTGTTCATTGCTACTGCAGTTATCTGACATGTCTCCTCAATTATTAACTAGCTAGCCTAGCTAGTTACATCAGGGTAGTTGGCTAACTAGCTAGCTATTACCGGCTATTTTACAATTGCTTGATAAAATCATGATAGGCTTCTGATGTAAACACATAGCTAGCAATGTTGTTTTATACAGTATTTTATTGTTAGCTAGCTCAATGTGTATTAAGTTAGCTAGCTTGCTACTTAATGTTAGTAGTTAATCAATCAGCTAGACCTAGTTTCAGTGTGCCCCTTAATCTCAGCTACAGTGAACAAGTATTTACAGAAGAAAAACAGTGAGGGCAAGTGTAGAGGTCGCATAGGGCTACTAAAAGTCACAGCATGAGAATAGTCACACATTTCCTTTAAAAAAAAAAACGTTCATTTGATCACAAGGTCATACAAAGGTACAATCATTGATAGGTATGCAGAAGAGCTACTTAAAAAAATATGTACAATATCAACACAAATAGTTAGATACATTAGATATTTTTCAGAACTGATGTTATTGGTCAAAAGACCAGAACATAGCTGCCCGTCCAAACGCAGCCCAACTGATGTGTTCCAAGACGGCATAGCATTCAAGAAATGAAAGAGGGGAGAAAAACAGGGTAGTCACTTATGGCAGAGCATTAATATATTAGTCCAAACCCCTCTCACCCACACTCCCTCCCCATCCACCCCAATGTTACTCAATGATTTTCTATTCTTTATATCCTCGTATTGAGGTTAACGTCATATATATTAATTAATTGCATGGTCAAAGGTATGTGGACACCTGCTCATCGAACATCTCATTCAAAAATCATGGGCATTAATATCGAGTTGGTTCCAACCTTTGCTGCTATAACAGCCTCCACTCTTATGGGAAGGCTTTCTGCTAGATGTTGGAACATTGCTGCGGGAACTTGCTTCCATTCAACCACAAGCATTAGTGAGGTCGGGCACTGAGGTTGGGCGATTTGGCCTGGCTCGCAGTCTGTGTTCCAATTCATCCCAAAGGTGTTTGATGGGGTTGAGATCAGGGCTCTGTGCAGGCCAGTCAAGTTCTTCCACACCCGTCTCGACAAACCATTTGTGTATGGGCCTTGCTTTGTGCACAGGGTCATTGTCATGCTAAAACAGGAAAGGGCGTTCCCCAAACTGTTGCCACAAAGTGGAAGCACAGAATCGTCTAGAATGTTATTGAATACTGTAGCGTTAAGATTTCCCTTCACTGGAACTAAGGGGCCTAGCCAGAACCATGAAAAACAGACCCCAGTCCATTATTCCTCCTCCACCAAACATTACAGTTGGCACTATGCATTGTGGCAGGTAGCGTTCTCCTGACATCTGCTAAACCCAGATTCATCCGTCAGACTGCCAGATGGTGAAGCATGATTCATCACTCCAGAGAACGCGGTTCCACTGTTCCAGAGTCCTATGGCGGCAAGCTTTATACCACTTCAGCCGACGCTTTGCATTGCGCATGGTGATCTTAGGCTTGTGGGCGGCTGCTCGACCATGGAAACCCATTTCATGATGCTCCTGACGAACAGTTCTTGTGCTGACGTTGCTTCCCAGAGGCAGTTTGGAACTCTGTAGTTAGTGTTGCAACCGAGGACAGACAATTTTTACGCCCTTTCACACTCGGCGGTCCCGTTCTGTGAGCTTGTGTGGCTGAGCCGTTGTTGCTCCTAGACATTTCTACTTCACAATAACAGCACCTACAGTTGACCGGAGCAGCTCTAGCAGGGTAGAAATTTAACGAACTGACTTTTTGGAAAGGTGGCATCCTATAACGGTGCGACGTTGAAAGTCACTGAGCTCTTCAGTGAGGCAATTCTAATGCCAATGTTTGTCACGGTTGACAACTCCGTTGTGTCCTCCTCCCAGAGTGCAAAGAGCCTTGGCGTGACCCTGGACAACACCCTGTCGTTCACCGCTAACATCAAGGCCCGATCCTGTAGGTTCATGCTCTACAACATTCGGAGAGTACGACCCTGCCTTACACAGGAAGCTGCACAGGTCCTAATCCAGACACTTGTCATCTCCCGTCTGGATTACTGCAACTCGCTGTTGGCTGGGCTCCCTGCCTGTGCCATTAAACCCCTACAACTCATCCAGAATGCCGCAGCCCGTCTGGTGTTCAACCTTCCCAAGTTCTCTCACGTCACCCCGCTCCTCCACACACTCCACTGGCTTCCAGTTGAAGCTCGCATCTGCTACAAGACCATGGTGCTTGCCTACGGAGCTGTGAGGGGAACGGCACCTCCGTACCTTCAGGCTCTGATCAGTCCCTACACCCAAACGAGGGCATTGCGTTCATCCACCTCTGGCCTGCTGGTCCCCCCTACCTCTGCGGAAGCACAGTTCCCGCTCAGCCCAGTCAAAACTGTTCGCTGCCCTGGCACCCCAATGGTGGAACAAGCTCCCTCACAACGCCAGGACAGCGGAGTCACTCACCACCTTCCGGAGACACTTGAAACCCCAGCTCTTTAAGGAATACCTGGGATAGGATAAAGTAATCCTTCTACCCCCCCCCCCCCCTTACCCCAGTCCAAAAAAATATAAATAAATTGTAAAGTGGTTATCCCACTGGCTATAAGGTGAATGCACCAATTTGTAAGTCGCTCTGGATAAGAGTGCCTGCTAAATGATGAAAAGGTAATGTATGGAGATTGCATGGCTGTGTGCTCGATTTTATACACCTGTCAGCAACGGGTTTGGCTGAAATAGCTGAATTTGAAGGTGTGTCCACATACTTTTGTGTATGTGTATATCATATATACATTTTCCTGTGCGTTTTTGCTGCCAACTTTACTTTATTTTTCTTTTTTCCATCGCAACTTTTTTCCCTCATTCAACTTTTTCACTCCGGACGCTTTATCTGGACATGGTTCGTCAACATCTTCAACAGCCGAAGCTAAGTAGTAACATTAACATGATGTCTTCTAATTGCAGTCGCTGTACTCATAATATACAGGAGAACGATCGCCTTACGGCGAGAATAGCTGTGCTACAAGCCCAGCTTCAGACGCAATCGTTAGGCAAGGGTAATTTCAGTGTAGGAAAGGAAGAAACAGCGTCTGTGCCACCAGTAAGTACAGATAGTAACGTTAGTATAAATC